ATATATATGTATGTATAAGAGGAATGATTCAGTGATGCTTACATGATGGCACTGATTGGACACATCTCTGTTAAAAGCTGCACCGAGTAGCCTTTGATGCTCTCAAACTTTAATTTGCCTTTTATGTGTCTGCGACAGCATCCGGGATGAACTGTGAGAAAAAAGACCAAAAAAAGGTTAAATTGAGATTTAAAAAAAAAGGGATGAGATGCTTATCTCTGCAATAAATGTGAAAAAATGTGAGAAAATAAAAAAAACACATACCTGCAGATGTTTGGATGGTGAGCGCACAGAGAGTAACCAGTGTTATCACTGTTACTGTGACTTTAGTCGACACCATGTCTGCTTCTGATCTGATCTGACCTGAGGTGGAGTCAGAGGAGCTTTCAAACTGCTCAGCACTGAAACCTTATATAGAGCTCTGCCCACAGATTAAACCTAGATCAGCAGAAAAGCCCCAGCTTTTTCCAAAACAAAGAGAAATGAGGAAGGCGAAGACAGAAATTCCCCAACCATGCAAAAAATTCAAATGCTGTAGTTATTTAAATACCTGTGAACAGCATGTGCTTATTTCTTTTGTTTACTGATTTAACTATGCCGTTGCTCTCAGGCAATGAACCACTATTTTTGGCTCTCTCCCTTCAAATGTTTTTAAGTAWAAATTCACATTAAAAGTATGATGAMAAGTTTGTAACCAATGAAATTTGACTTTGGAGAACATGTGACATTTTGTCTGAGGTTGGAACTACCTTTAGTGGGACCATAGCTGGCTTGGACACACTGCTGTCAGAAGGTGATACAAATGTAACTTTTTAGCATGCTTACATTTAAATGATTTTGTACAAAAAATGTCTGTGATGTGCAGAAATATGTGCAAAAATATATTTAATTGATGAAATATATTTTTTACTTTTATTTATACACATGGTATAAACCTCACCAAACCCCTTATAAATCATAAATAAATTACACTGAAATTGTTCTTGTTTATTTAAAAAATAATGTATTTATTGCTTGTTTGTTCCTCATTCCATTGTTATTGAATAAAGAAAAACCTTGGCGTTTTACTGCCCTTATCATTTTGTTGCCCAGAAGCAACAAAATGGCGGGTGGGGGG